TTTATCATTGTAACCTGGATACATATTATTTCGAAAATATCTACCCAGTTCTTCTGCCTGCGTGGAGAAACAGAGAATATTAAATCAGAGAAATAAAACTTAGAAGAGGTAAAACATGCAATTATACTAAGGAGAATTGTTTAAGAAATAATGTTGTTAGGCATACAACTCAAGAACAATACCACTAGATTTTAATTGAATTAGGAATACATATAGACATGAAAATACTGGAATACATGCATAATACCTGCTTTCTCCCTGCATGTGTAAGAACACCACCATATTTAAGAACCATCAGAGCTTCAACAGGCTGTTCTTCTTCACCCTCACCATTACCTTTTGGAACTTTAATCCATTTTAGAGGCTTTAGTTGCACCTTTCGATAGATGCCAGAAAAGTGTCCACCCTGGAAACAAAATCACTTAAAGCATAACCTCTAGCTGATGGTCAACGGAAAGAAAGCACATACAAACACAACAAAGGAGGAAAATCATAACAGAAGCAAACTAAAAAGTCAAGCATTTCTCAACCAAACAATCACTAACAACACACATTAGCTGAGCCAAGTTGAAATTAAGATTCAAGTCATAAATTCTTCCCAAGACCAAATGAGATCCTTTAAGTGAATACAATATGGCCAGAAATCTGAAACTACACATAATTCAAGAAAGGTAGATAACCTCTTCAAGTACTGCTTTCACTTGCCGAAGCTTTTCAGCATGCTCAAAGTCTTCTGCCTCACTGTCGCTTTCACGACCTGGTCTATAAAATGTAAATAAAAATTAATCAATTGTAAGCAGTTTTGGTCATAAGATTCTAATTTTTAACTGAATAATATACATTAATAATATATATTATTGTTCCTCTAGACAATCAAATGGTAGCACGAGCAGAACTTTCAAACCTATCTATTAGTTTCATGCAGCCAAGACATTAGGTACTGAAGCGTATTAGAACTGTTACCGTTATCTACTGATAATATTTAGTATTGTTTTGTTACAATTAAATCACTGAAAATTAAATATGAAGTTCTACCTTGTACGGGGTACAAGTGCTCGAGTAGCATCCAACAGATCTTGCAACTGGACTGCACTTTTAAGTTTTGTCTGAAAAAGTAAACCAACAATAATATAAATAATTCACCTACTCCACAATGTACATTGAGGACAAAGAATGATAACTGATAAGGGAAAACAATCACTTCAGCTCTAGGCCGTCCACCATTGTACTTTAGCATTAAGTTTAGCAGCCTTTCCTCAGTAACATTCAACTTCACCTTCTGCTTGGGAGTTCTATCACCACTGCCAGATAAAAATAAAATTAAAAAAGGAAAACAAGAAAATATAAAAATAAGCAGGCAACCAGAATACAGAATATCAAAACATACTGACGAATTACACCAATCACACAACGTAGCTCCTCAGACTGCCCAAATGTGCCAATGATACCACTTCCTTGACGAGTGAGTCCTTCAGATTGCTGGACTGGTTCATTTACTTTCCAAGGTAAAGTTGGTGGAATTACAGATGAAAGGTGAGGAGCTTTTGCATCTAAGAACATCTTCCTCAAAACGCAAGCAGCATCATCATAATATCTGAATAGAGAAGGAGATTATATGGAATAACAAACACTGAAAATGTCAAAATAGAAATGGCAACAATGAAATGATTAGATCAGTACAAAGAATCTAATAACCATTACTTGTGTGAGTTTTTCACAAAACTCCATCCATTCACATCACAAACGTATGAACGTCCCTCGCAACGCAAGAGATCAAATCCACAGACCTGCAAACAATAGAAACCAGTGATACATGGATGTTCGGTATAAGTCACATATGTTTCTTCTGCAAAAATTGTGCTATAGATTAAACACTTGTATCAGATAAGCCATTTATTTCATAACAACACCTTTTATGTGCCTGATTAATTAGAAAAGGTCTAGGCAGCTGTTGTCACTATACCCCATAACCATGTGAAGGACTTTTATTTTAATTTTATTCCACATTTTTAAGGACTTGTTCTTCACAGAGGAAGTTGAATAAGCTCAGATATTTATGTACCCAACAAAAATAATGAAATTCCCAACTGACAATTGCAGTTGGATACTAGTGCCAATTGACTTGATACTTTCCAAGTTCCAACACCAATGCTTCCTAGCCATGGATGCTGGTGCCCATTCACCATTACAGCCAGATACTAGTGCTTCTTTGAACCTTGATTAGCTTAGACATACCCCTGCTCCCTGGCCTTGTGGCCAACGGTAAAGGTGCACCCTCTCCACCCAGAAGTAATGGGTTTGAATCTCCACCACCCATTATCAAAAAAATATTATACATACCGCTTGCCTAAATGCAATGCAGACATCCCTTGCCATTTGCTTTTCACTTGGTGTTAGCAAGACAGGATACCTAACCTGCAAAATGTGGTAACAAATATGTCCCAAACATAAGATTTCCCACTCTCAATGTGGAGTTAGCACCAAATTAGTTATTGTGGGAAACAAAGATACACAGTTATAGTGGACAAGCAATATACATTCTTTTTACCTTTTAAAGATTTAATCAACATTTCAGTAACTTTCTACTTCATGACAAAATATCAGCCACAAACTCAAGCAAATGAATGAATTGGAAAAGGAACTAAAAGGCCCTACAAGCACTTTTGTAACAAAGAACAAAACTTTCGTACTCTCAGAACAATCTGGCTTTCAAATACTATATTGGTACTTCAACCATTCTCTTCAAAGAAGGGCAAAGATTTAAGGTGTTTAAAACCTATAAAGGTAATTACTTGCATAAGTGTGAAACAGAATTTGATTAATGTGAAATTTCCTTTAGTCAATCTTTCTGGAGCACACTGCAGGTTTCAAAATATTCACCTGAATTTGACTTCTCTGATATGAAGCAACCCAACTGACCCATTGTCCAGACAATTTGAGAAATCTAAACAAATTTGGTTTCATCACTTTACTTTTGACAGCTCAGAAGATGATCAAAGTTCTTTTTATATGGACTCAGTCACCTAAAATTACATGCTACACATGCACCAGATATAGGATTCCCTAAGCTGCAGTTGCAGTTTCAAACACAGTACAATTGTTGAATAGAAAAAAAAAAAATCAATAAATAAAAGAAGAATTCCAAGAAGCAGATCAAATGTTGCTAATTTTAGAACGTGTGTGTATGTGTGAGAAAGCAGTGAATGGTATGCTTAATACTTGGTTTGGTGAATTATTTAAAACACTTACCTCTTTTCCATCAGGATTTCTCACAACAACACCATCAACAACAGGAGATTTCCTTGCCTCAGCATGCGCATATTCAGGACCAACAGTATAGACCTACATTCATTAGACAAGTTGCTCACATAAAACTAAAACCATATGAAGGCACTAAAATTATATCCTAAAAATATGCATACATGGAGGGAAAGCTCATAAAAACAAGTGAAAACAAAGACAAACAAAAACCAACTGAAGACAAATTAAATGTTTTATCAAGCAAAAACATAATTAGCAGCTGATGATAGGTGTGTCCAACATATCTGTTTCTTGCTAATGCAATAATGAATCCCTAATTAGGAAACACATGCCAAGGCACACAACCTTCACATCTGTTCCTCCAGTTGGCAAAAATTCCTCATATATATAGGAACCTTCACGTCTTACTCTTCTGACATCTGGATGGAACTCACTTGATCGGTTTCCAATCTGAAATAGGAAATTCACACTGTTAAAATTATGGGGGCATTCCATATGCTAGAACACCTTGCAACAGAAATGATGCAAATTTTAAACAGGCAAACCCAAAAGAAAGTTAAACATGACCAAAAAGTTAAAGATAGGTGTCCAGACCTTCCTAAACAACACCTTCATGCCACTGCCTGCTGAGCTAGGGTAATATATCATGATACTATGATCATCCCCTATGCAAAAGCAAACAAAAAATGTTGTTAGCATATACGCAAAAGGCATACTATTCCAAAAAGGGAAAAAGATAATCAGCAAATCAAGAAAAGTTTCTCCGAAAGCAGTTAGTGTTACAATTCTGAAGTACTGTGAGCAAAATTCTTCACAGAAATCTTCTATTCTAAAAATCCTTTACAAAAATCATGTATTCAGCTTCAATATTAATCATACTTGATTTAGATTTTAGTTAAATCATGAACAACAGAAAATATTGACATGACAAATGCAATGAGCTCTAGGTAAATTTAATGACCAATCTCACCATCAACAGGCTTCTCCACAAATGGCTTCCAAAAACGATTTCCATGAACCTCAATATAATCTTCTTCCTCAACAAAATAATCCAGATCTTGATATGGGACCTCTCTATTTACAAGAGCATATCTTGGAATAGAAATTCTATACTTTTCAAGCCGCTTCAGCACCAAAATTAAGAAGTTAATATTTCCACACACACACACACAAACACAAAAAAAAAAAAAAAACCAGCAATGTTATAAACTGAACAATATACAACAAGATCATCAATTACAAGTTGAACCAGAAAGGTCTTCTTTTCCTTGAGAACAAAGAGCAGCTTTGGCTAAAAGTGTTGTGGCACTTGCTTATAATCCCACCTTTACACTTTACTCATCAGGCCAATTGTGTCTATTCCAACTTCCCACAAATTAAAATATTATGAAAAAGAAAGGACACTGAAGTCCATACTAAGGACCCTCCTTCCACTATCAAAATCAAGAGATAGGTTGGGTCTTTCTATGAATTTTGTAGCATGCGGGCAATAAGAACTAAGGAACAACTTACAGGGCCTTCCAAAGAATTTTCAAATGTATTTTAGCTGAGCAAACCCAGGTGCATGGAAACCCATAAAAACTTCAAATAAAAGATAATGAAGCTTTGGGGTTACAGTTTAGTCTTTAAAAATGTTGCTCAGGTTCTTAGTATAAGATAAGTACAGAGAACAAAGGGTACATACTTTAATCAAACAATTTTTTTCCACCACTTTAATCAAACAATAAGGGATCATGAACCATTATAAAGTTTAGGTGGAGGGGAAGAGGAACATCTGACAAATACTTCACTATAATTTTGGATCAAAACCACAATATTAATATGGAAGTCTTTGCATACCTCATACACCTTCCTTCGATCATGGAGAAGGTGTTGCGGCTCCAATTCATTCACAAGGTAAGGTCTGAATCATAATGCACAAAAAGATTGCATAATCAGCTCTTAAGGGTACATCTAATCAAAATATAGGTTTATCATGTATTAGTTGTACAAAACAAAAAAAAAGCTTACTTCCGTAAAGCAGCATACGCTTCAGCTTTTTCAAGTGGGTATCCAGAGGAATAGAAAGCAATCAAGCAATCGCAGATTGGCCATCTGAAATAAACAAATTTGGTAACAAATTAACAGCTATTGCTTTGTAATGACACTCCAACTTAAAGACACAAGAAAATCAACACAAATCTCAACTTCCACTAACGACAATGTCAGCATAAGTGATTCAGCCCAATACTTAGTAACGTACCTTTCCACTGGATCCTCAGTAATGACTTTGTCTCCAAAATGTATGATCTACCAAAACAAACACACAGGAGAATAGAATAATATTATCATCCATGCTCCAAAAAGGAAAGAAGAGGAAGATTGCACAGTTCATAAAATAAAAACTGAACTCTGGAAAATGCATTATTTATCCATATTGGAATTACACATTTCACAAACAGAACAAATTCTCATCCAGCCATAAAATATTACATCACATTCAACTTGCACAAACAACCAAAACAAAGAACGAATTCAATCACTTAAACTTCATCTATCCTACCTCAAATTCACCAAAAGCCTTCAGCCGGTCCAGAATCTGCCCCATAGGGGCCGAAAACACCTAAAACATCAAATAAAAACTTCATCACCTCACAATTAAAGCTCTGAAACAAAGTCATAAATACTACATTGTTTGAATCATAAATTTCTCTAATCAACAGCAAAATTTGAAAACAAAAAGAATAAAAACCTCGTATCCGCATTTCACCTTCTTTTCCATGACGCAGACTCCGACTGTAATCTTCTCATGAACTCTCCCTTCATCTACGTCCATATCTCCCAACTCTATATCTATAAATCTATCTCTAAAAGAAAAAACCAAACAACAAGAAGAAATAACAGATTATAAATCCACTTTTTTCTGCTCAATTTCAATACAAAACCACAACCACCGAGGACCGAGCTCCTTGGCTGCTCAACTCCGAACCACCACAACCGTCCACCGCCTCATAAAAGAACATAGCTAAACAACTCTTACTGAAAAACATTCAGGAACATACAAACGAAACTACATGTACGTATAGTTTTCTACAGATACACAACATATACGAGATCCAGAGAAATCGAAAACGAATACCGGAAAAGCTTTGATCACGGACGTGGCGGTGACGACTGAGTCCCTGGAAAAAAGGCAGCAGCTGCAAGAAAATGATGATATGAAGCGGAAACGCATAGTAGCCAATAAAATATATAAAATAATTGGGAGTGGAAATTTAAAAAATTGGAAAAAGTGATTGGGGATAGTGATTTTGGATTCCAGAATATGCATTGTTAATTCATTGGGTACTTTTTTTTTTTTTTCTTTCTTTTATGAAGGGGACGTGTAAAGTTTCACTAGAAAAGTAAATACATTAATTTTTGTTTTTCTCAAAAAAATAATTCTTTTATAATACTGTCAAAGATAAGATGTAATGTTTTGATGTCGGGCGGTTATTTATTTTACCAAAACGTTGTACTGTCGTGATATAGATACATATATATTAATTTTTTGATATTTAAAAGTATATTATATTTAAATTAATTAAAAAATAAATTATATTAAATTTTATAACAAAAAATCTCTCTCCTTGTTATGACCCAATAGTGATCATTGCTACGAAAAGGGTAGTAAGTGAAATGTATTTTTTATTTCATGTTCAATTTCTCTTAGAGTAGATATTAATCTATTAATTTAATTATTTTTTTTGTTAAAAAAAAAATCTCTCTCATATTTATTTTTTTATTTACAAATTTAAATTTAAACGTCTGTAATTCTTTGTATTTAAATTAATAGGTAATTGATTATACTGTCGGATAAGGTAAGTTTATTATTATATACTAATTCAATTTTTATATTAAAATTTAC